ATATTGAATACGAAGTCTAACAGTCCCCCAGTTGGAGAAGCATGAAAATCCCTTAATAAATTAGGAATTATAGAGGAATATGCAGGAATGACCAAACTTTCCTTATAGAAAAGCACCCCTCCTTTCACTGAGTACCAGCCACCAGGGTTTCGCCTCTGGATCCTGGACCAATGCCTCATAGATCTTCTTTAGGACTATGTCTTGCTGCACAGCTTCCTGTAATTCTTTATCTTGCTGCCAAATGGGGTAAGGAACAATAGTTTTCAGCTCTACCCCTTCATGTTGCCTCGACAAAGCGTGAGCTCTCTTGTTCTCCTATCCCCACCTTGTAAAATACCTCAAAATCAATCCCAATAATTTAGCTATCCATTCCTGTTGATTTGCTGTAGTAATTCGTTGTTGAACCAGATGACATAGACTTTTTTGATCAGAGTAGACATTGAATTTCCTCCCCAAAAGATAGTGCCGTGGATGTTGAATGGCCAAGACCAACGCCATCAATTCTTTGTCATACACATACTTACAAACTTTACTTCCCGAAAAAGCCTTGCTAAAGTAGGCAATCGGGTGCTTAGATTGCATCACACTGTCCCCACTCCCTTGCCCAAAGCATCACACTCAATCTCAAACGGAATTTCGAAATTTGGGAGAGCCAACACCGGGGATGTAGTGATTGCCACTTTCAGTTGCTCAAAAGCCTTTTCAGCCTCAAAATTCCAATTGAAATTGTCTTTTTTAATTAACTCTGTAAGCGGTTTTGCAATCCTCCCATAGTTAGCAATGAACTTTCTATAGTATCCTGTCAACCCAAGAAAGCCACAAACACCTTTTACATTGGTTGGGTTCCTAACAATCATTGACAAAAGAATATTGAAAATTTCTTTGTAAATGGGTAATGGTATCTCACCATTTCTATGGTGCATAAAAGAATATTAGATTTTAAACATTCTCTACTTTTCTTATTTTGCATTACGTTGAAAATGAAATCATAAATGTTACTGACAGCTATACCAAGTTATCCATGCTAGTTATTAATGGGATTTGTGTAGTTTGACTTAGATATCAGAAGTTAATACATCAATTCTAACTAGTAAAATAAAATATGTTTTTGGATTTAATATGAATAAGAATCTAAAACATGTTATTTAGTTAATACATCAATTCTAAAAGATGGTTAATGCATTATGCAAATTTCTTGTTTGTACAAAATTCCTTGTTGTAGGGTGGAAAGAAACTTTTTCCTTGTTGTTTCTTTCTTTCCCTCCTGAACATAACATGTTGAATTTTGGAATAATGTCGCAAAATTTCAGGTTGATGACTTGTCATTTAAGCAAATACAAATGTTTTATATTCCGCTGATCAATCAAAACTGTTTGATAAACTTGCTATTGTTTTTATTATATCTAGTAGATCTCTATTGAGAAACATAACCAAATATAAACAATTTGTCATTTTCACTCTCATACCAGGATGAAAATCGATATAGCGCAGTAAGAGGAGCACATAAAAATTTGAAGCGGGCAGAGAAAGCACGGATTCTTGTCAGCAAGATTCAATGTGAGTCATTATTTTATTTTAAGTTTTACATTTGTATTAGTTTTAATTGATTTAGAATTTTGATGATTATGGTAGATGTTTACGACTTCATGTTAAGGGGAACCTCTGAACTAGTTGCTGCATATACTTGGATCAGAATGCTATTAAGATGTTAATGGTATTCAGAACACACCGAGATAGTAGACCAGAGTAACTGTGGACAAGCTTGAGTGAATAGCAACTCTTCATAATTTTATAGAAGTGATTTCAAGTATGACCATGTATAGTTTGATTATGTGATATAGGTACTCAAGATTTTACAAAGTTGGGCCGACGAGACCTCCAGGTTGTGGTTTAACTATTATTGAACTAGAAGATAATAAAAAATGTAGTAAGTATTAATAAAGTAAAATAAATAATTACAAGTATGCAAAAAATAGAAACCGGTTGAAACCACATTTACGGTTCAAACATGATTGATCCAATGTCCAACTGGCAAACTGGCCCATTCCTAGGTCAGCAGGTTGAACCTTCCGATTTTGTCCAATTTTTAAAACCTTACTGGTAACTGTCTGCCTTACTTTTTATGCGAAAGAAGCTGTAGGAGTATCTACTTATATCTGACTAATGAGTATTTGAGATGGTGTTTAATAAATGAAAAGCTCTTGGGAGTACAAACCTTAGGTTAACCAGCAAACATTTCTAGAGCTTAAAATTGGGATGCTAGACAACTATGTTAAAATATATGATTTTACTGCTATTATTTTTATCTATCTGAGAAATCTTAATCAGGTGAGGTCACAAAGGTTTTCCGTTTGCGAGTAGATACTAAATCTGAGACCTATAAACACGCATTTAGAAGTGTCTAACAGTGATGGACTAACATAGAGCTTTTCATATGGGATGTTGGCAGTCAAAATCTTAATAATTTAATGGTGTTGTAGGACTATCTAATTTTGAAAGAAGTGAATTCAATCAAAACTTTAGTCTATGTTCAAAAGTTGGCAGATTAGCATGATTCAGTAATCACTCTTGTTTCTCATAGCTTAAATATCAAATATGAAGGCCTGAAAATAATGCTCTTTTGAGAGAAAAACATATTTTAAGTACAAAGCTCTAGGTTTTAACTTGCTGATAGTTTTCTCATTGGTTTAACACTTACTATCTTTCAAATATTTTACTGAGCAGCTATGGTAGAGAACTTGACTGCAAAAGTGAAAGCATGGGAGACGGAAAAAGGAATTCCTTTCTTATATGAAAAGGTGATGGTGCCTATATTTTATATTATTGTCTTTAATATAAGGAAAGATTAGTCAGATTCCAACTCACTGTTTATTTCAGGCTCCGTTGCTGCAAAGCTTGGTCGAATACAATGTACAGCAGCAATTGAGAGAAGAAGAGAAGCGGAAATCTCGGGTATGACTCAGTCATAGTATTTTTACTCCCTCTTTTGTTCTTCTCTTAAATCTTACTTCTATATCATTGAACTAAAACTCTATTCAGAATGAAAATCAAGTCTTTATAGTATTTTTCTCACATGATTTAATTTGGATGATTAATTGATTGTTTTTGTAAGCTTCAACCTTTTGATTGTACAACTATTTATTCTGGTCTTTTTAACAGGAGCAGAAGCGGCTTAGTGAACAACTTTCTGTAGAGCAAGAAGCAATGTTTGGTTCAAAATCTGCAACAAAGAAGCCTCTAAGCCAGAGTACTCATGCTAACACCATAGCTGGGACACCAACTGGGCGCCGAGTGCAAACACCTTCAAGCCGTTATGGAACCTCGGGTGCAAAGGATCGTAGAGAAAGTGGCAGAATGAATAACATAATTCCAGTTAACTATGTTGCTCTTCCGAAAGACGACTCTGCTTCAAGGGGCAGTTAAAGCTTCCTCTCAAATTAGACACATGTAAATCAGTTTTCTATGTAAATGTGCTTATTCTAGAAGCTGTCTTTCCTTTTGTAGCGTTATACGAAAGCATTGCTCTCTACAAATAGAGATTGATTTTAACATGGGGGGTTGATTTTGAATTCTTACATGACAGATGACAAGACTTATTGTAAGGCTTGACACAGAAATATAAACTGTGGGCTAATAGAAATAAATTTCAGAAAACTCATCCCCACTCATCTATTGTAGTGGTTGGAATAGGTATGTAGTTTAAACTTTTCTAGAATTGGAGCATGGGAAAGAGGAATGATGTAGTTTCGTATCTGTGAAGCAAGGAAGTTTGCTACTAAGTAAAACATTTGATAAATTGATAATTTTATCAGGTTCTTTGGATGATAAATTGATGAACTATATGCTATATGGATCAGGGGTGGCAAATGAGCACAACAAAAACCCGTAAAAATGGGGCGGCAATCATTGAGGACGTGAGCCTAAAACATTAACCTGCTTTACAAAAAATGACGGTGGAGTAAAGTGAACTTCCCGGCACTGCATCTTTAAAGATAAATAATTACAAAATTAATGTTAATGTTTGAGCTTGCATATCCACAAGAAATGTGGGCGAAATTGACATATTAGAGGCTTGCCCTACAAAAAAGTACAGATATGTCCAACATGTTGAATTTGTTTTGTCACCACGATGATGTATGATTGTAATTTGTTGAGTATTAAGGTTCATATTATATTATTTTTTTTGGATTCTTTTGTTTTTGAGCAACTACTATATCTTCAAAAAGTATATGTTAATGTTAGATACATTGTATAAAGACATTTTCTTAGTAAGTTATTAAGATATCAATAAAAAATGTATTGTTGGTTTTTTTGTTGTTGTTACTGTTGCATGATTTAGTGATCAATCCATGCAATTGCAATAAAGTAGGACAATGACATACAAACAATCGAATTAAAGTTTAGAACAATGCCTCCACTTGACTTTAGAATTGTTAAATATAAGTTCAATAATAGAATGAAGCACACTTGATGCAAAATTCTCAAACAAAGTAACATGGTTTTACACACATCAGAGAAAACACAAATCACTATCAGCTTAGTGGAATCTGAATCAGGTTTCATTAACAGTATAAAATAAAATGAAAGAAAAAAATCCCAAAACTTATTTTTGACAACAAATTCCACACCATCTATACCAATAAGAATAAGAATGAAAAAAGAAAAGATAGAGAGAGAAAATGGATAGATAGAAAAACTTTATGATTCCCTTTTCTACATGGATTAGTTGGAATTTTGTTACAAAATTATATATTTGCTCTAATACAAGGCAGGGGCGGGGGAGGAAAATTTACTAAAAGGACAAAATGAGGGATGATAGTAGAAGAAGAGTGTCTCTGGATTCACAGTGAGTCTAACAGAATCACCGTAATTTTGTAAAAACCATACATAAGACTTTCGACAAAAACACGGGTTACCATGATTTTGTCAAAAACACCATGATTCCAAATATGCGCGAAGTTAATGATATTCCTAATCATAATCCATATTTCTCAAGCATTTTATTGTTGGTTAACATTATTAGTAGTAGGCCCTTTAGTAGGCATGGTTATTGCAAGTGAAGAAAGCATGTTGTTAGTATCTCCAACTTGACCATTTTTCACTTGATCATTGTCATCAATCACTGGCCCAGAATTTGCACCAATTTGAACACCTTTTATAGGCAAAGGAATATCATTTTCTATTTTTCTTTCTGTTTCTTCCTTATGCTTTCCCCACAGAACTGAGTATAAACCTATAACAATCAAGATGGCCCCTATCACACTGCACCCACAAAGGCCAAAACCAAATTCTTTAGTTAGTCACATATGAATGATGACAACATCATATAAATTAGAATAATATTGAAGAGCATACTTTGTTTTGATTAAAAAAAGTTCATAATCAATTTTATAATTAAGAAAATTATTAGTGGACACTAATAGAAAATTACCCTCCAAAGTATATTTGTTCCGCAAGGATAAAGGAACCCATGATTGCAACAATGATCATCATAAGTGGGCTAAAGGCAGTTGCAAATACAGGCCCTTTCTTCCTAATCACTAGCCCTTGCACAAAGTATGCTAAGCTTGATGTCACAATTCCCTAACAAAAAAATAAAATAAATTAAAAGAAAAAAAATAATTAATAAGAATTACAATTCTTTAGATTATTTTTTAATACCTCAGATTTTAGTAAAGGCGGTCTCTAAGAGCGTGTAATGCGGAATATTACATAGAATCTATAATTAATCATAATAAACCATAACTAAATAGAACCCCATAAAAATCTTGTCATCATCGTTAAATTGTGGTTAAATATAGTTCTGAGTATTTTATCATAATTGAACTGTGACTAACTTATATAGAATTTTTAAAACTTAAGACGACATGCTTTTAGTCTATTTATTATTTTTCACACATAATTGTGAAAAAGTATGTATTTCTCCTAGAGTAATATTTATGAATGATGTCCAAAATTGAAAATGTGTCCGAAATTAATTTTTTTGTAATAAAGTGACATATATGGAAGATCCTTACAGCATAGGCAGCAGCAAGCAAACTCATATCCCAACCAATCCTCCAAACAGAAAGATTATGCTCAGCCACAAAAGTAACAGCAATAGCTTGAAGAGTACCAATGAAACACATAAGTGAAGTGAGACTTAATTGATGATGCTTGTACGTTTCAATAACTTTTGCCTGCCCAATTATTTGCACCATAAATTCATCAATCAAATTTTCCAAACAAAAAAGTATGAGAAACTTAATTAATTAGTGCATAATGACTTACTTGCAAAACAAAGAGACAAGCCCAAGCAAAAGTGGCAATGATAAGGAAAGTGCAACCTAAAATCCAATCTCTTTCAGAAGAACCTGTGGTGGTTGTTTCATGTGTTTCATTTTGAGAATGTCTATGTTTGGCCCATATCATCTCCACTATTGGTCCTTTGTATAATGTCATTAGCATTGCACCTGCCACTGTCATTATTGTTCCAAATATCTTTGCTTGGCATCTCACTTGCTTTATGTTTATCTTCTCCATCCTTTTCATATTTCAAAACAAATATTACAAAATCTCAAAGCAAACAAAATAAAAAAATTAAACCCTAATTTCTTAACAAAAACTAGTTAAAAACCTGTGCGTCTGCACGAAAAAAATCATTGATACTTTAGACACAGTAAAATTTTCAATAATAGTGATCGTGTTCGAATATGAGATTCTTTATTAAATTATAAAATATTGGCTTGAAAAAATTCTTAATTTAGTTGATCAACTTACCTGCATAAAACTGCCATGACAAAAGTCATGGCTGGAAGCACGTTGCTCATTGCACAAGAGAAAGTTGGAGATGTGAGTTTCAATCCAGCGTAATAGAAATTTTGATCAATCACTGGCCTGTTTTGTTAATCAAATACAATAATCACATTTAGTATATATATACATGCAGCTTTCACTACAAGAAAAATGCGCAGTTTTATCGTCAGCCACGACATGGACGCTATTAGCGTCACTTAGGCGGACGCTATAGGTTTTGTTTGTTAGGATGAAATATCTAGAGGAGACTAACCCAAGAAGAGCTAGGATGAAAATTTGGATGAAAATTCTGAATGTTATCTTTGGTTGACCTTTCCTAGAAAATGAAAAACAATGAGAGTTAGCATGAATTTGGAATAAAAATGCGATGTTTATTAACTTATGATATATATGAAGTATGAACCTTTCAAACATAAGTGCAAATGGAGCAATAGAAGCGGTTGCGAAAGCGTGGCGATAAACCACAAGAACATAGTGACTCATGCCTTGGTTAAGTGAAACCTTAGTGATGATATTCATACCAGCATAACCAAATTGTAAGCATATCATAGCAATGTAATGTTTTAAATTCTCATAGGAATTTGATTTTTCAATGGCCATTTTTGTTTACTTTTGTGGAGGGGAAAGTGTTGAGAAAAGAGGAAGAACACTTGAAAGAAGGTTTTGTGTTACTTCCTAAGAAGTTGCATGGGGAGGATTCAATTATTTATACCAACATGGAATTTGGTTGGTTACGTCATAGGAATGTACACGTATAATTTGCATTAAATTTGGCTCCTATAGTGGGGTTGGCAATATTGGTGGATTATGAGGCAACTCGACAATGCATATATTTAATTGCTTAGGAAAGAAACATTTAAGCAATAGTTACTAGACTTGTGATAAGTGTTAGAATAGAAAGTTACAATAATTATGATTAAACAAATTTTCCCCCCCAAAGAATAATGGTTTCTTTAAAAAATATGCATAATGTTTCATTTGCAAGAATGTATATTCTTTATGGGAGAACATTTGCTTTTCATAATTTTAATGGAATCTAACTAATTTATTTTATTGTTATGTTCTAACTTTAAATCAATTAATCAATTTTTTAAAATATCCCACTTGTTAACAATTTAATGGCTAGAAAAATATTGTCCATATTCAATTGAGGACCTTGTCCATATTCATTTATCTCTATCTAATTTTCACAAGTTAGAGAATAAATTTGACACGTCCCATGAGACAATACTGCCAATACCTTTAAGAAATTTCATTCATCAAATCAGGACTATGCTATGACATATGCACATGATTCTGCAAAGAACCTTAGTAACATGAAACGACCATTACCATCATCAACGAAAAGGTCAGGTCAAGACTGACCTAACAAACTTATACATATAGTGGGAATGTCAAAAATTATGCCTCTCCTTATCTTACTGTTTACAGAGATGTGTCAGTTGACCACATATGAAACCACTGGTAATGACATGTTTATTATTAAACAATTATTGGATATGAGGATACATGAAAATATGTACAAGATCTCTTAACAACTTGCTTACAATGTAAGAGGTATGGTTCATAGCGAGGGCTAACAAGTTAGTGTGATAGGAAGTAATTCCTATCAAAACTATGAATTAGGGTTTTTTGCATTAAAAAAGAAAGAATATTAAATTGACTAAATAAAATAAAGGAAGATAAAATAATTTTTTCTTATGTGTCATAGACACTACATATATAGAACTCTCAATAGATAATTAACTATAAGGCCAAAACTCTATTAAAGATCCAATTCAACAACATTTAAAGATAACAACCAACATAATTATATTATTACTTAAAATATCTAATTGCACCTCCTATCATAGTGAGTTGCAAACAAAACGAGTCAATTGTGGTGATTATTTTGCCATGTCTACCATACAAGGAGTTCAAAGGAATCAACCTCATGAAATAATTCCTACTAAAAGCCAACCGACCAATAAAACAGTAGGTCTTTTCCAAGTCTATCCAATTCCCACATAACATGTACCTTTTACTCTTTATAATTTCTAGACTAATATTTTTGCGACAAATAATTTTGATGGAATACAATAACAAATGATACATATAATCAAGACACTGTTCAATTTAGATAGGTACCTATGGTAAAGAGACTACAACAAGTAGTCATACAAATCATTAAGCTGCAAGTATCGCTTAAGGGAAACCCTATGTATACGAACAACATGCCATACGTTGGAAGAGAAGTCATTGTTAGTCGGAAATTGATATATAAAAAAATAGGTATGGATTACTCAATTCAACATCCACGAGGAAGATGAGCGATTGAGGCCTCTTTCCAAAGGTCATAAAACTCTATATTTTGCTATTTTTTTTTGAGAAGATGGAAAGTAAACTATGGAGTACATTGGAAGATTTAATGCCTAGTGTGGTAAGGGAAACTACAATGAGTTCCTTAAACAAAAACAATTATTATAGTTGACATGGTACACTACGAAAAATTGTGTAAAATGTGAAAGTTTTATTAGGTCGGTTATTGAAAATTAAGTCGGTTTTTGAAAATATTGTAATATAGTTCAAATTATGGCGGTTTTAACCGCCACTTTTTTCTTAAACTAGTTAAGTTTACAATGACCTTATTCACTTTTCACTTTCCCTATTTTTTCTTTTGGTATATCAGAAAGTTTTATTAGCTGGAGAGTGATCAAACATCCCCTCATTAGCAAAGTGAGCTTTTGCATGAGAGTAAGTATTCCGCCTTCTTTGGTTCGCCATGATTCTATCAAATTTAGAGCAGATTCTGTCATTACTTGCCTGTTTATTGTTCCAAGTGAAGAAATTTTCTGCTGACTTGATATCTTCAAGCCTGCACCTCTGAACACAGTCTTTAAAATCATCATTGCTTTGGTCTTTCACTCTTTTGCCAATTCTTTCCTCCTTGTTGAGAATATCATTGAAGTCCCCTAAGATAATCCAATGGTCCTTGGTACAAATTTCCTCCATGTCTTTCCAGAGTCCCCTTCTACCAGTCACATCATTAAAAGCATAAACGTAAGTAGTGAAGACTTCATTTCTTCCTTTTGGATGTATCTTAAGGTGAATCATTTGGCTGGTACATTTGAGAATATCTACTCTGAACATCACATGATTCCACCCAATTGCTATTCTCCCTCATTTGTGCCAAGCTATATTAGTTGTAAAACACCAATTTGGAAAAAGGTTTATATATAAGGCCTCTAAATTTTTAGCCTTAACCCTTGTCTCAAGGAGACCAATCAAGCCAATCATGTATTTATGGATGAACTTCTTCACCTCAGCCTATTTTGATTGCTTGTTAATCCCCCTAGTGTTCCATGATGCTATTTTATCCATGGTGTTGAAGAGGTTCTCCCCCTCTTCCTGTATTCTCTCATTCTCTAGAGGTTTCTGGTTCATCTATTTCTAGCACATGGATAGTCAAACATGGATAGTCATGTGTTCTTACACACACCCACATAACAAATTGCAGATCCATATCCACTCTGGATCCCATTGATAACAATTTTTATATTGCCAATTATCACTTCGAAAATCCAATCTACCAAGCCGAGGACGAAGGTGAGGAAGATTGTGAAGTACTTGGAGAACTTGCCAGACTGTTAGTGCAAGAGGAAAAGGCTATACAACCACATGAAGAGCCAGTCGAGGTTGTAAACTTGGGTACTAAAGAGGATAAGAAATAAGTCAAGATAGGCGCCAACCTAGAAGACAGTGTCAAGAACAAGTTAATCCAGATGTTACGTGACTATGTTGAGATTTTTGCTTGGTCATATGAAGACATGCCAAGACTTGATACTGATATTGTGGTTCACCGTCTACTGATGAAAGAAGGTTGTTCTCTAATAAAGCAGAAAGTTCGTCGTATGCGTCCCGAGATGTCTGAAAAGATTAAAGCTGAGGTTATGAAGCAGTTCAACGCAGGTTTCTTGGCTGTTACATCTTATCCTCAATGGGTTGTAAATGTGGTTCCCGTACCTAAAAAGGATGGCAAGGTGCGTATGTGTGTAGACTACAAGGATATGAATAGAGCAAGCCCCACAGATGACTTTCCTCTTCTACATATTGACCTTCTGGTTGACAACATCGCTCAGCACAAAGTGCCATCCATACCATTAGTTGGTAGGTAGCCCTATCTATTGGACGTGAAGGGACAAGCGTATGGTTATCGTATGATCATTAAAGGCAACATGTAAGGATACTTTAGCAATTGTATTGAAGGGGCTATCATCATTTTGCTCGTAGGGTCATCAAAGGAACTAGATCATTTTGTAGGCAACTCGAAGGGTCATTGAGGGACTATGATCTTTATTCGAAAGAGACATGATGATTTGATCGAAGGTCTTTTGCTAAAGTATCCCCACTTTCGAGAGACATGACCAATATCGTAAGACAATAAGAGAGGTTACCCTAGAGGTGCAAGTGTGAAGAGTGTATTGATTTCAGTTATTTATCTTGAGAATTAGGGTTTTCTACGTTTGTTTTTAGTCTTGCCATGCAAACCTTAGTTACTAGCAATTAAATATGTGCAGAAAAAATAAAATGCAGAATGTAAAGACCTAAGCTATTACATGGCTTTGGGAGAGATACATAAGTATAAAAATTTGTGGGAAAGTAAACCCACGTTATTACACCTTCAGAGCAAATACATAATTAGAAGAAAATGCGAGAAAATATAAATCTACGCTATTATATCGGAGAGTGCGACCTATACACTTTGTCTAATAAAATTAAATAGTAAAAAAAGAAAATAGAAAAAGAATGTTAAAATGAAAAATGTTTTTGTGGTTTTCTGTAGAAAATAGTTTAAATGATAATAGTAATTAAAAATCTAATTCTAATTAATTTTAATATTAAGAAAAAAGTTAATTAATTAATAAAAATAATTAGTAAAATAAAAATATATAAGAAAAAATTTAATTACTAATTAAAAATACCTAACCCTAATTTGTTATAGTTTTGAAAAATATTAGGTTAGTTAATGATTAATTAAAAATAAATTAATTAAGAAAATAGAAAATTAAATAGTAAAGAAATAAGAAAAAGAATGTTATAATATTAAAATGTTTTTGTGTAGAAAATAATTTAAGTGATAATAATTAATTAAAACCTAATTATTTCTAATTATTTTTTAATATTAATAAAAAGGTTAATTAATTAATTAATAAATAAAAATGCATCAAGAATTTAATTACTAATTAAAAACCCTAATCCTAATTAGTTAAAGTGTTAAAAAAAGATTAAGTTAATTAATTGTTAATTATAAAGGAAATTAAGAAAATATGGTGAAAATAAATTAGGGTTAGTAAAAAAAAGGAAAAAAAACCAATTGCCTAGGGTGAGTGTTAGTTTGACCTGAAAACACTTGTATCATGAGATTCGATGAAAATAACTCAAACTGCCCTAGCAATGACATATCCTTATTCCTGCGTCAAATCTTGCAAACAATGATTCTAAACAAGTCTAAACATCATTATAAACATGTATATATGCATATAATTAATCAACAACGCATGAATTATGAGTTTGAATTCCAAGAATATTACTCAACTGGTGATGTTGAGATATGATGATCT